TCAAAAAAAAAAAAAAAAAAAAACTTCTCATAACTCTAATTCAACCTAAATCTTAGCTTTTCAGGGGAGGTTTTACAAAATTTTAGGGCTTCCTTTCAAATAGATAGCATTACGATTTTATGATAATTGAGTTAATGATAGAATGGTTTGCCGATTTTCAGATTTTCCATGTCAAATGTCTCGTGTGTAAGAAGTGTAAGGTACCCCTGGTTGGTATGACATTCTACAATATTGAAAACAGTCCAACATGCAGTGATTGTTACAATGTATGTTTAATAGTCCATTGTTCTCGCTTAACAACTTTTTTCATTATTTTTTCTTTCTAGTAGAAAGTTAACTGCGAAAATCACTTTCTTATGCTTTCAACATGTTTCGCAATGGAGCTCTCTATGACAAAAAAAAAGTTTGACATAAGAGTGGCATAAACCAAAGGACCAACCCAGTAGACACCACATTATCGTCGTTGACCCTGCTTCCAAGATACCGCAGTACATATGGGCTTCGACCCCCTAGGACCGCGCTCAATTTTCCCATAAAACATGGACCGAAAGAACAACGTGGTGTGAATCGTGCACGGAAAATTCCGCTGGCGGAAACTCTGTGTTCGACAAGCGTGATCTCTGAATCGTACACCTTAAGAAAAGAAGCTGGAGGAAAAGTTCTAAAACTCATAAAGTTTTCAATGAAATGTCATAATGTACCGGCCAGTAGTAGCCATAGACACCTACTGTCTTCCCTTTGTACAGCCCTACCAGTTGCGCTACAGAAGAACCCTATAAACGCAACCTGCAATACCTTAGGGATTTCCAAACAAATAATATAAAATTCCAATCTCGCCTCACCTCTATCTTACGCTTCCCTCCTATTTCCTTGAAGAACACTGATTAATTCACCTGTCCTTTTGTACAGATGTAGCTACATTCTCAGCTTCGAGACTTCCAGAAATCCCTCGAGAGCTGCTTCAAGTGTCATGAGAAGATTACTGACCGGCTGCTGCGCGCTCGTGGTGTAGCATATCACGCAAAATGCTTCACATGTAAAGAATGTAATAAAACACTGGACCACACTCCGTTCACTGGCGATAAGGACAACATCTACTGCGTTCCTTGTTACCAGAAGTAAGTTTGGCCTTAATTTCATCTTTCTATTCAGACAATTTGTCAAGCTCATGACCATGCTGTGTGGGTAGTCGTGACATATACAGACGGTTAAACCTCTGCACGCTAATCAATGTGTCGTAGTGTGGATAAAATATTTCCAAAGTCAAGTGTTGCAGAAAGTTTGACTGACAACACATAGTATAGGAAGGTGCTGCATACACTCCAACAAATACAGCCTATAACGGCCCGCTTAACACCTGGTTAGCCTAGCTGGTCGAAATTGAGGATACTACATGCCAAGGAAATGCCTATGCTAGACATAACTACCTGAATCATAACTAATCCGTAGTAATCACACTATTAACTAAACTAGGCCTTTCTTATTTATGCGAAGTTAGCTCGGTGGTTTAGACATCAGAGAACAGCGGAGCTAGTCTTGCAGTCAATCGAGTGACGTGAAGGTCGTTGTATCGATGGGCAGGACGACCTTTCATGATAAAAACGAGTTGTTCTGTCAATGGTGCACAAAATTTGTGAACAAAAGTATTTGTAGGGTGAAGTCATTTTTGTCAGAGCGTGGAGCGTTTCGCGGATGAACACATGGAAATACACAATTGAGTACATTTGACTATGATTGAAATATTCTCGTGCCGTGCGAGGTTTGAAGGTGGAACAATTTATTAAGTCAGCGGCCTAACGTTTCGACGTTATCGTCTTCTTCAGAGGCCAAGGTTCCTCCGCTCAAGCGGATATAAAATCCGCTGTCGTCAGTAGCGAAACAGAAAGGATAATCAGTTCTTCAGTTGATCCGAAATATCAAAGAGGTATGCTTTACATGAGTATACCTTACAACCATCAGCGCAGAACTCGTCAGAGAAACCCAGATTCTTACAGAATTAAAGGCAACATTTTCTATTAAACATTAAAGGATTCGCTACTGACGGTCGCGTGTGACTGTTGACTTAATAAATTGTTCCCACTACAAACCTCGCACGGCACAACAATATTTCAATCATAAACAACTATGCCGAGGTCAAAGTAAGAGAGAAGTTGGAGACTATTGAGCACATTACTTCCAGCAAAACTGCTCCACGATGCGGAAGGTGTGAAAAGCCGATTGTTCCTCGTCCGGGACAGTGTGAAGCCACCCGAATCTTAGCTATGGACAAGTCATTTCATCCAGAATGCTACAAATGTGAAGATTGTGACAAGCACCTCAACTGTAAAGTAAGCTGCTTTTCCTCAAATCACCGCCGAGTGACAGGCAATGAGAGAATTATTCGAATTTAGGCTGAACATGGTGGTTGCTACCCATTAGATGAACATCTCTACTGCAGAGACTGTAGCCTGAAGCGAATTCGTGCAGGACAGCATGCTTAAGAGGCATGACAACAAAATCAACTATTCTATTTTTCCTTGCCCGAACACATAAATTCCAAGAATACGCGATGCTGTCGAACTGATTGCTGCCGATGTTTCGTAATGTCTTTTGTACTTCCTTCCAACCACATAGCTTACACCCGTGCACATTTGCCTATTTCGTCCATGTGTTTAACTAGAGGCCGTTAACTGCTGTTGGCGAGGGGTGAACGCCTCACGTGAACTCGACTGTTTCTACCCTTCATCTCACTCTCGCCTCCTCGCCCATTAAAGGCAAATGATAATGACATTTCTGTGTATGATGTTACCTATTGGTTAAACAGTCTACAATACAACACTAGTAGTAAAACTCGTCCTTTTTCCATGTTCTACTAATCCAACACGCATGTGTTCTCACCCTACCGTCACATTATTCAATCGCCGTTCTACTGGAACTACACTGTGTACTTACTTAAAAAGAAATCTATCGCCCGCCGATTTCACTTATTGCTTTCTTGATGGAATGGCGCATAGAAACTTTGTCTATGGCATTTATGATCCATTATGCATAAAGTTCGCGGCATTCACTGTCACTTGTGTTACTACCATCCATAGGTAGTCAATTCAGCATCGTAAAACAACAAAAAAAAACAGTTTGGCAAGAAACAAACAAAATTGAACATAATTCGAGCAACATAATACATCAAAATATGGAAGTAAGTGAATGGATGACTCCACGCTTATCACCTCATTTTTCCATTGAAAAAAACCTCACTTCCCGATTGCTTTGGAGATTCAAGGTTTGAAGACTTCCCAAGTTTCCAAACTAACAAAGGAGTCAGGGTTACCTCAAAACATGGTCAGTCACAGACAGAGACACTCATAAAAGGATACGCCTGCAGCCTTAGTCTTTGACTTTTTGTAGACTGAACAGTATTCATGAAAAATTCAAACGTTCGTTTCACAGGTCCCTCCACCAAATGTCTAGCGCCACTGACCCAAGTGGTCTCTTCCATGTTCTCCTCACCGCTGCAACTGGGCTAGCTGTAGCGTTCGCGTTAAAGTTGCTAATTTAATTTGTTGCCTTCCTTTTCTGGAGCTCAGACGAAGTGGCATCCTCGGATCAAAAGATATTCGATATAACCCATGAAACAAGTTAAACTCTGCCACATTCCTATATCGAAGCTGAACGAAAATACGCCTAACATTTGGGAGTACTAATCAAGGAGGGGTAGTCTACTTACCGTGGGACTTTGAATGGAGACCCAGATAAATCTTAAGTCAATAGAGTTCTGAATGCTGTTCACGAAAATGGAGACTAAAACTGCTAACTGGTTTTCCTTGAAAAGTTATGAGGGTTGGAAACTTGCTTGACAGTAGTATTATTTCGATATGCGAACTCGTCGCCTCGGTATCAAGTGACTACGTGGCATAGTATTAGTGGTCTCGCTTCATAGGCGTACAGTGCAGCTTTGCTCCCCGCCATCATCGACATTTTTGCAAAGTGTTTTTTCATTCCATCAAAGACTATTTGAACCTTTTCTGACATTTGTCTCTGTTTTATTTTAAACTTCAAGATGCATGCAATAGAAGATTCTAGAGATAAGTTAGATGCCAAGAAACTTCATATTGATGGAGAAAACTAAAAAAAAATGCGTGAAGCACAACTCTTGTTCGCAAACTGCGCATCTTATACATGTTTATTCTCCACACCCGGTGACAGTTTCAGTCAATCGTCTCAAGACGAACAAATACTCGGCCGGTGACGCATGAACCTGGGTATTCGTCAACTCACCCAGCTTCCTACCAAGAGCATTTTAGAAAAGTGGTGCACAAAGCATTCGATATACTTGGGATAGAACCTTAAGTATATTATCCCTCTGCGTCATATTGAAGTCCGCAGCGTTCAACATAGCTCTAGATCTAATAATCTTCTAACATTCTTCATAGGACCGAAGAAAAAGACGTCCAATGGCTGAATCATCGACGCAACAATGGGAGGAATTTTGTGTACTTCATCTTTACATCCTGTAATGAAGTGTTCGTCGAGCAATGAGCCGCGCGCTACACATATGCAATGATAGAAAGCGTTGCATACTTTCAGGTACAGCTTATCTGATGGTGTTGGTATCGCGGAAGGACGACCACGATTCTGCAATAAGGTGCAGTTCCTGGTGACCGTCCCTGCTCGCAAAAAGACAATTCCTAATCCAATCGACCATGAGTTCCTTAGTCATGATGTGTGTTGTGCCCGCTCTGACTACCAGATCCGGAGCTTTGAAGTAACCTTGACGCGGGTTCTCCTTTTCTTGAAGAACAACATATAACTTTTTCCCCAGCTTGCCGTCAGCATAGATCACTGGGAGGATGGTATAGGTATCGTGAGAGCCATTTTGCTCTCGACGATCCTTTCGTCCTGAAGGGAATGGTTTAACACTTTAATATACACAAAATTGGTAAGACCATAAACATAGCACGCCCACCTTTTTCACTCCTATTGGTGCTAATGACCTTGCCGTTGTCATTTCTTTGGGAAACCCTGTCTGGTCACCATTACAGAGACAAGCCAGTTGTTTTGTTTCCATTTCCCTTTTCACGACGCTAACGAAGTCTTGGGCCTTCAGCTCTATTCCCTCACGGCTCCCGTAGATCTAAAACAAATGCTGCGACCTTCCTTGACACCATTAAATAACGCCGTTTAAAGGCCTTTATCCGAGGTCGACACGCCTCGAAGCCCTCAACACTGTTGTCTCGGCATAGTTTTAGGGCCATAAAGCAGAGGTCATACAGCGTAGAACCTCGAATCTAAAGAATTGCTAGGCCGAAAACATTTCCAAAACAACCAGTAGGTGTGTTATACCCACCATCAGCTATTTTCTTTTTTACTTCTCCGTGAAGAAGCTCTCCTATCCTTCTCAATTGTACAGACCGACAGAGCTTAACTCTACCCGCCCCTTGCCGCTCACTTTCGATCCTACAAAGCTTCTTCAGGTCGTTGTCGGCTTTGATACAGCGAAACCTTGAGTTCATGCTTGACAATGAGCGGTACCCCTTCGACGAACTTCTGTAGTGTTCGATGGCCTTCGTTACTTGTTTATTTAACAGAACGAATACTATGCTAATGGTAAACTATTGCCAATTTCGAGTTCGCTCGTCTTGCCAGAACTTTCGTGACCATCTCCATCTCAATGGTCCTAGTCAGATTCCGCAGAAACATCTGACTCCAAGCATTCATCGGTTTCGACATCAACCGCAGTGGCGACCGCCCTGCGAAGTATAGCGGTGAACCTGCTACCTTCCTCTCCTCACGAGATGCCTCAGTGCTGTCTTCGGACGTACCGAATTCAGCAAGTAGAATCGTTACTACCTTTGCAGGAGAAAAAGCCATGATAAATCTAGACTCATCGATATTTTCATTTTCTATTGCTCTGTCTTGTCGAAATTCTGATCAGTCCTGTTGCAACCCGTTCAGTCTTGAGACGACTGACTACTTTGTCACCGGATGTAGAGAATCAGCATGTGTAAGATGCGCAGTTTGCGAACAACATGTGTGCTTCACGCATTTTTTAGTTTTTTCATCAATGTTACGTTTCTTACTGGCATCTAACTTACTTCTAGTACCTTTTATCACATGTTTCTTGAAGTTTAAAATAAAACAGAGTCGTACAATTGACGTGCAGAAACACTTTTCCTGGAGAAAGTAGAAATAAGGCGTTCACGTAAACAAATGTCAGAAAAGGTTTAGAAAGTCTTTAATGGAATGAAAAAACACTTTGCAAAAATGTCGACGATGGCGGGGAGCAAACCTGCACCGTACGCCTATGAAGCGAGACCACTAACACTATGCCACGTAGTCACTTGATACCGGGGCGACGAGTTCGCATATCGAAATAATACTACTGTCAAGCAAATTCCCAGCCCCCATAACTTTTTAAGGAAAACCATCTAGCAGTTTTAATCTCATTTTCGTGAACAGCACTCAGAACTCTATTGATTTATCTGGGTCTCCATTCAAAGTCCCACGGTAAGTAGACTACCCCTCCCTGGTAAGAGGAAAATTTTAAACGTATCCACGTCCATATTTCGCTTTTTTAAGATATCAAGATAAGAGAACCATACCTTACGTCAATTACTAGTCGTTCTGAGCAGTTGTGGAGCGAAATCTCGCAAAAAAAAACTCTGCGACATCAACAAAGCTATGTCAACTGATCACCTACCGTAAGAGTAGGAGATGTAATGGTCGCTTCCTCAAATTCTGTTGCACCCAACACGCGTAGCATTTGCGCCTGTGATATATCCATCATATGCAGTCGAATCGCCCGCTCTCTAAATACAAACCGAAATATCGCGAGCTCGCAAGTTGACACCCGAAAACCGTCTTCCACTAGGAAATCTAATCACACCTCTTACGACGTGAAGGCTTTACAGCGCGTCCACTGAACTACGAATGTATACTGAGCGTAACAGAAACGGAAGTATCGGCAGCATCACATTGCAGAAGAAAACATCTACATGTTGTAAAGTATACGAAGCCCTTCGAAAGTAGCCAGGGCCTACCGCGAAGTTCCCATTGCTCCTGAAATGAAACAAAACACAAATTTTTATTATCGGCAAAAACCTTTAGAGTATTATGACTGCCATTATTATGATGGTTTCGCGCCCACGTGAGAACAAATAGTACGTCCCATTTTCAAATATGTTTCATTTTTTTGATGCCAAAGTCGAAACAGTACATTCTTGATATCCTCGTTATTTTTGATTTCTCACGCATCAAAAAGAAACTGTAAGCAAGAAAATGTAATTGTCGAACGTAGCGTTTGGGAAAGGTTTTCTACTACTTGAACTTGCTCAGCATCCCCAACAGCAAAAGCTTGGAGAGATGAGAAAAATACCGTGTGTGAAGGGTGGAGGATACGGGGAGGGGTATCCCACAAGTCATACAAGCACAGCAGTTCAAGACTGGAAAAAACGACAGTGCGACAGACGAGGGCAGTAAAATAGGCGCGATCGCCACAACTAGTGGGTTGGTGCTGCCGGCCGAGTCCCAGTAGTCTGTAGAGCGTTCCATTAGTTCTGCACTTTTTCAGCGAGCCCTCAAAACAGCATGTGGCTTGGCATCACGAACAGTCACAAAAGACTTACTTGTCGAAAATACAGTGACTGAAAAGAACAAAACTTGCTCCTCCTTCTAACAAAATATCAAACACTCTGTGCGCAGCAGTGCTTTCTCAGTAGAATAACTCAGTCTACGTTCGGTATACAGATCTTGCAGATGTTCAAGATGCATGTTCACGTAATTTGGACTACAGCAACATTGGCAATCAGGTAGGAGAGTTTGTCACCTCTCTTGATAAACGATATCCATCAAATTCATCGATTTGCGTAAATTTAAATAGAATATTTATTTACGTACATCAGTATATAATAGAAACATCAAAACAGACTTGTACAAAGTTCGCGAAACCAACTGTAATCTGAACGCAAAGAAATAAGCTGAGAAGTATTTGAACAACAAGATACAACACCGATCACGTTATCACCTAAACGGACCACTACAATAACGGGCGGTCATTAGAGACAATTAAATACAGAGGTAATACAAGAATAACTCTCTTTAAAATATAACAATAGACACAACAACCCTGAGAAACGCAACATAACACTGAGCCCAGCGACACATTCAAGACAGCACGTCTTCGATATAGGTTTAGTTTATAAAAAAAGCAGTTCATAAAGGCACTAGCACAACTGCAGGACACGAGATATCCTTCATTCGACAGCACCATCGCACACAACTACAATGAGAACCAGCTGTTTGTAAGAGAAAACGCACAGAACGAATTATGACTGACACAATTAACTGAAAACGAAAACGATCTCACCACAAAAAGACAAATTCAAAGAAGTGCGGAATATTCTGAACCTCAACCATTCCCGCAGTATTTAACCGAAATCCAATCCCTTCCTTTTTCTGATAGCCTTATATAAAGAACTGCGCTAGAATATTACCAGGTTGCAGTGGAAGTATCTGTCCAAAATTCACAACATTCCAGAATTCTCCCAGGATTTTTCGAGAGGCTTCTCTAGAAATACTATATAAGGATACCCCTACCGCATAACATCCCATAACATCGCAGTTGGTTGACCAAATATATGTTCACCTTCCCCCTTTGAGTTCCGGGCTATGAAGTAATGGAACCAAGCGTGCACAGAATCGCTCAGAGGGGCTTCAAGGAGAAATGTTTGGTTCAATGGGTTTCAGCGGCAGAGTGCCCGGATCCAAAGGTAAGGGAGGGTTGGACATGGGTAGTTAGTTCGGTCAATATATGATCAAATATGAAAGGAATAGATAGGAGAATATAATATATGCGTACGCGCATAGATAGTGCTCTTGCATGGAAGCTCCTAAGAAATCCGTGGAGAATTCTGGACCACTGAAGAGTTTTTGGCAGACCCTTTTCGCACAAGCTCATAGCTGTAATGGTCCAAGAAAGCTTATCTTGAGCATAGAAAGACAATGAAGTAACCAATAACCTTTAAAATCACGGAAAAAAAAGAGACTGCATGTCCAAGCGAGACCATCCGCGGTAAAAAAAAAAAAATGAGAAAATCGCATGGTCTCAACTGAATGTGACACCAGACGCACCAACCAGAATTCGTCACGACATATAAAAAGAGCTTGAGGACCAGTGAAACAATGAACAATGAGTAGTGAAGAGCTCAGATTTGATCAGCCTATGAAGTTGTTCACATTGTTGTAGGGCTGCAATAATGTATGGTTGCCGAATTGGTGATATGGTTACCCAGCTGGATAACCCTCATGCATAGTGGATGTCAGACCCATCTGCCGATGCGTTACAGGTTGCGTGGGCGAGAGTACAGATGACCTAACCGTTTACCGGTCCCTCCACCTTGAAAAATACTCACCGCCAAATTTTTACAATCTACAACACGCTGTATTATTTTTTTTATTCTACCTATCAACGCCTATTCAGATAGCCATATTAGTAAGAGTGCCGCTTTTGATGCTGACGTGAAGTGATGTTTGCCTGTGAAGGTAAAACGAAAAGCAAGGTAAGGGTGGCACGATCGCTATCCAGTGTCCGGTCCTATGCTCTAACACAAACGAGACAAGATCAATGGGAAGCAAGCATTTAGCAACCAGTGACATTGGATAGAGCCGTAGTTCGATCTACAGGCAGCAACAGTGGTCACAAATATGGAGACAACAATCGGTACTGAATATCACAAGCAAGTTCCTCTCCCACATTTCTCAGGGACAAGCGCGTTGGTCAAGTTCCAGGTAATGCAAAAGTTTTCGCTCACTGATCTTCATCTCCACTGTCAACTCTCTTTGACAATTTCGGCTTCTACTGGGTATTCCATCTGCGCTCACAACTTGTTTGAGAGATTTAGGCTTCAAAATGGGGGTCATTTTTGTGATCACACTTCAGACTTTATCCACCCAGTCTTATTCAAAGTTACATGAAAAGTTGGGACTATTCTCTTGTCAGGGTACCGTAAGCGTGATAGTACGAAATGAATTTATGAACTATGTCCCTTGTTCGAAATGATTCAGGAAAATTACTCTAGTCGAAAAAAATGTTTTAAAAAGGTGCTCTATAGATACGTCGTATGACCAGTGAGTCTGTGCGATGGTACAAGGCGGTAATGGCCTGACCAAGAGATTCAAGTCTTCTCGTCCAGCTGGGTGAGAATGGTGTTGGGCAGTCAAAGCCACGAAACAAGTATGAAAAAGTGTGAAACAATGACGTAGTATGATCGCGGTTCAGTGTAGATCAGTAGTTTATAGATTAGGCGAAGCTCGACTTCTCTAATATAACACAGGCAAACTATGAAGCTGGACGTAGGAATAAATGCGTTGATAGCAGCTTAGAAATCTTACATTACTGGCAAATTCAAAAGTAGTTACTATACTTCTTATGAAACACTGTGTAGAGAAGAATGACCTTAGAGGAAAAAATGAAAGGGAGCCAATTCAGTGGTTTTGCAGATTGAGGTTGAGGGAATTTTCCATTCCGGTCGTAAAAACATTGAGGATTTGAATGAGGCTCGAAACGAAGAATATTAGGAACAACTTGAAAATCGAAGCAGGCCAGAAAAATCCGCCTTAATAAGAGCAAATATTGTTTAATAAAAAGGAGCACCGGTGGAAAACTTTGGGTAGGATGAGTGAAAAGTAGCTAAATCCCTATTCCTACATGCTAGCCAAAGCTTCAATTAATGGAATGAGAGCCGTGGAAAGACTGTACTAGATGTGCAACTCAAGATAAACCTCTCTGGCCATTACACCTGCTATATTCTACTTCCACTACACCTGCAATATTCTACGCCCATTCTAGCCCCCAGTGAAAGTGTATGGAGTTTGAGAAACACAATCTTCCGCAATGGAGCAACACTAGACCGACCGTCACCACATCAACATCAACATCAACATGGACACATCACTTAGAGATACTGGTGATTTATTAACAAAACTAGGAAGAATAAGAGAATGAGCTAAAACGAATGACTTGAGGACCGCCCGAAGACCATGAAGGCAAACAGAAAGTCAAGGCCGACTACCTAAAACGCCTTAGAAAACCGAAGATTTGGGAGCTCGATTACCTCTCAGATATAACTGTATGGCTGGAAATAGCGTCTGTATCGACCTATTTTCAAAAAACATTCTTAGAAGAGATCTAAACCAAGGTCAAACAGTGGGCAAAATCTAGAGAAACGATAGTTACAACAGAGCACTGAATAGTGCAGAAATTGAAAGCAGAAAAAATAACTCAGCAACTCAATACACTGGGATCCACAACAAAACCCATTATAGAGTCCACAAGCTCATCTGCAGCGACGGTGGCTCGGCTCAGCATTAAGGACAGCACACCAGATAGAACAGCTGGAGCGAATCCCTTCAAAAATATATTTACTAATTATTAAAGGACTAACATGAAGATTATCTTAAATATGACAGAGAATGCAGTTCGATATAGACGTATCGGGTAATACGAATCGTCTCAATAGCTAAGCGGCGGATACCCAAAATGGAAACCGACTGCAACCGTTTGTTTTAGTGCCGAGAATTCCAGCCAAGCTCAAAACTATACGCAACTATAATTTCACCTCGCTCGCTAAGCAAACCCAACCACTCTCTGAAAACGACACAACTACAATCTACATTCCTAGGTCCTACTATGGGGCAGAACTCAGGGAAAATGAAGTGCTCTTATGCAAATATACGTTTCAAACATAAACGACCTTGCTAGTGTTCAGGAACTCATACCTAGAAACTGCCTTCGAACTGGAAAAGATCATCTACCGAAAATATGGAGTTAAATTACCAGACATACAGGGCTGGCCATAATTATAGCGACAAGACTTGCTGACTGACTGACTTAGCGTACATTCTATCGCGCATATAGCGCGCCAGTTTCATGGACTTTTCAATCTCATCGTTTTTTCTGAATTCTGTTATAATTTGGTTGAATTTGGTCCATTCATAGTGAAATGGTGAAGCCTTCTCCTGAATTCCGCTATCGTTCATCTGCAGAAAGCCGGCCGCCCACCCGCCACGATCGCTATACACCTCGGCATTCACCGCAGCGTCGTGTAGCGCACACTCCAACGTTATCGAAACCTTGGTGGGCTTCAAGACCTCCAAAGAAGTGAAAGACCTCGTACTGCTCGCACCGAAGGTCGTCGAGGCCGTCAGAAAGCGGATAGCAAGAAACGCGACTCGCAGCATCTTGACGATGGCTTGCGACATGGGACTCTCGCGGAAGTCAATGGAAAATGTCATCCACGAAGACCTTAAGATCTACCCCTACCGTACTCGCAAGGCTGCTATCCTCAGCGCCTCGAATCAGCAGGCGCAAGTCAAGAAGTGCCGACAGCTTTTGCTTCGGACGCGCAACAAGAGTAACCATTCGATCGTCTTTTCGGATGAGAAGCTCTTCACCGTCGAGCAGCAGTGCAACGCTCAGAACGTCAGAGTGATCGCAGGGAATGTCAAGGAAGCCGACAAGAAGGGAAGAGTCGTTCACCGGGCCACACACCCTGCCCAAGTCATGATTTGGGCAGGGGTGTGTGCCTCAGGAACGACGCCGTTGATATTCGTCGACCCCGGCGTCAAATTCGAAAAAAATTACTACCTGAAGACGATTCTAGAAGATGCTCTACTCCCGTGGGCGAATCCCCACTTCAACGGCCGCCCGTGGTCATTCCAGCAAGATTCAGCGCCCTCCCACAAGGCCAAGGTCGTCCAAGCGTGGTACAAGAGCGAACTCCCCGACTTCATCTCAGCAGAAGAATGGCCGGCATCGCCACCGGATTTGAACCCCCTGGACTATAACTTGTGGTTCTTCCTTGAGAGCAAGGCCTGCACTACTCCCCACCCCAATTTGGATTCTCTGAAGGCAGCGCTCATCCGAGAATGGGACGAAATCGACGACGCACTCTTGCGTCCAGTCCTCGACGCCTTTTCCAAGCGACTACGCTGCCGTCCGTGCCAAGGGTGGCCGGATCGAGAAGTAACTTATGATGGTTAAGTAACCAGTTGTTACTTAATAAATGTTATGTTCATGACTCGTTTGCACTTTTACTTTCTGAGATACAAGGTGAAAACTTTGTCGCTATGTTTATGGCCAACCCTGTATACTACTGGGAGAAAAGAGCGAAAGACACAATGGTTCGAGACATACCAGGTTTTTAAAAGCAGGATCGAAAGTGTAGAAGTAATACAGGGTAGAAGTCATGTCCACAAGTTCCTTTAGATGACTTAGCTCACCGCTTTCGCATAACCTGGAACAATTAATCAAGTCTGCCTAAGTAAGCACAAAGGATTGCACTTCAGTTAGGTATGCACTGTCTTAATGACTCAATAAATCACTAGCTTGTCAAACTGGCACCATATCCGTGGTCAGATCGAAGCAGCATACCAACAAGCAGAAGTTAACTACAATCATGGAACGAAGAAACCAGGCTGGACTCACTGTCGCGCACATTCCCGCAACTTTCTGATATCTGTTTTGGCCTTTTCTGATGGATTTCCTCGCGCTATCCTGAACAAAAAAGAACATTTGAGAACAAAATCATTCTCTTACAAGCTATTATTTTAGGTGTTACATTCTGTTGACATATTATTCAGAATAGCAGATTAATAGCAATTTAGAAGAGCCCAAGATCAAAGTACCCCAAATAAGGAAACTCAATGCAATTGAAAACGATCTCAAAACGGAAAGGCCGCTTTCCCACTATCTGTCTCACCCAAAACTGTCTTGGCTACAGAACGATCCTCCACTGAATGACAAATTAGTAAAAGTGATAACAAAATTTATTGCAGATTTCTCGAAAATAAAATAACTTACTTTTCGATCACCTTCGCAACCAATCCCCTCCAGATCTCGAGGAATTTCATGAGAGCAAGTTCAGAAGCTGACTGAGAGTTTTTTCTTGATGAGTCCTCCTGATCTGACCGGGACTGCTGTACTTGTCGAGCAGAGCTCCTAAATTAAAATCTGTGAAGAACTGGGAACAAAAATATAACGAAGAAGTGAAAATATGATAACCTTACCTGTAATACTTGCTAGACACATTTGAAACAGAGGGCGTACGAGAGCAGACTGTTTTGCGCATTGGGTCGTCCTCTACAGGAGATTTTCGGTTTATTCTTGAGCGAACTCTTCTCGAAGAAGTAGGATCCTCCTCACTATTAGAAGTATCTTCTAAGCTACAACTACGTTTACAATAACGACAGATTGCGATTGTCGTATTATCACGATCATCGGAAGTACGATACAGGCTTCCTTCAGCCTCTACCTTTCGTAAGGGTGGTTGCCGCGACGGTTGTAGGAGTGATGTTGTACGATCACTTTTGGAGTTGGGCAAAAGTGAACTGGGCGTTTGTGGAGGATATAGTGCATCATGGTAGACCTTCTCTACACGTCCCTTCTCACTTTGCTCTTGATAATATCTCGAAAAACTTTGTGGTTCTCTGTATTGCTGCCATCTGCTTGGCCTATCAGTGGCAGTACCAGGATGAGATGCTATGTAATATTCACTGCTTTTTGCTGTCTCGATAGTATCGTTCTCTTTACCCGGGCCCACTGTTTTGCTTTTATCTCTCCCAGATCGTGAAATCACTTTTATATTATCCTTTTTCTTGGCCCTTAACTGCAAACGACGTTTTGTTACTGGTGTTTCCAAACGTTCCATGAGGGCCTGAGGAATAGAAATCTTGCTCTTGACCATCTCCTTTGCTTGTAATTTAGGCTTTAACGCTCTGCAAAAAAAAAGCAATGTTAGTAGTCCACGCAAAATTCAAACGATGAAACTTTTTACCTGCTTGCTTTTGTTGGTTTAAGACTATCAATTCGAGGTACTGGCAACTCAGATGTGCTACGCTGAGTTGTAATTGGGTCTGGCTCCGGATCTGGATCGACATCCATTGGTTCCTCTGGAACTTCTGGGATTCTTGACTGATTCATAAGGGTGCAGTACTCCTGTAATTAAGAGAACTGCTACTAGCCTCTACCAAATTTAAAGTACAAAAAGTCTAGAGAAATTCATTTCAACAAGTTTACTAGTTCAGTGATTGGGCAGTAATTCAACCCAAGTATAATGACAGCAGTAGAACAAGCGATACTGAAACACTCCGATCTAGCGGCCTCCCTAGCTCCCACGCATCGTGATTGTAAAAATTCTTCAAAAAAGGATTAGATACATATCGATCTAGCGATTTGCGGCTATTGCTGAACGTTGTAGTGATATCGTCAGTATTATTGGTGGAATAGTAAACTCCCGAATAAATGGATCTTAACTACCTGGTAAGGCTCTGTGAATAATCATATGCTCATGGGATATGGGACATTAATTGCCCTACCGGATGCTGGATGCTCATCAAGAGATACCCAAGCAGAATATAAGGGAACAACAAACTTCAGATGTCATACACTTGACAGCATGAGCAGCCGCCTTCAGGGAAAGATTGCAGTCGTCGGTCACAAAAACAATTTTACCAGCATGAAGGCAATCAGGTGGCACTGAACGACCATGAGATTTGTAAGAGATTCAGAAAACCAAGTAATACTGTAAAAATAGAGTGACACACGTGCGGTTTGAATTCTGTAAGCGCATCGCAATATGCGTTCGTCGTTGTTAGTGGCAATAATTCCATCCACACCTCGTTTGGACTGAAACAGAACATATCAAATCTTTGGAAGCTTACTTGAGTGAAACAACATCTTCTGTAGATACTACTTCCCCCTAACTATAATGTCAAAGGCATGCATAGTATCGGCCTACTACCAGCCTGGCTCTTGAATAATGTGCTCTTTCCAGCCGTAATTCCCGTCAAAATGCATTGTAAGCAGAACAGAAGCAGTCAAAGGAGACAAAATCATGCACATGCCTTTGAAAATGATCTCGCATCAAAACTGTGTTTGCGCGTATGTAATTTGAAAGGGGAAATGGACATCAAAACATTAGATTTATTTTTGACTGTCAAGGTCGAGCAAGACTTATGTAAAAAAAAACAATCAAAGTAAACCTATTACATCATTAGAGTCCTCCAACTCGACATATCTGCTTGAATGCAACTGTCGAAGCCGACGCATGGCTACCCGAGCTTTCTAAAAGTAATTCAATGAGCAGTAATATTACTATGCAACCAACTTTTGAAACACAAATGAGAAGAGAAAACTTACCGCACGCAACTCGTTATTACCACTATTTTTATTCAGTCGATCCAGTTCGGTCAACACCGGGAAAGGAATAATTACTAGAACATGATCTGAAAGATGAACAGAGTTTCATTCTATTTGATAAGCTCTAACGGCTCTAGATGGATGAAAAGGACACGCACGGGACTGACTGCTGGGAACCCACTCAACGCTAGATATTATCAATCTCTTATTCAGATAAGTTTCTGTTCCAGATTTAAGGAAAATGAGCAGCGACGTATGAGTGCAGTTTCAAGAAGGCGCCAGCTTACGACGGAAAACGAGATGGAAGCCGCGAATGAAGATTTATTTGTCTGACCGCATATGAGGCTCGAACCCCTTTAGGTCTCAGCTCGTATCGAAAAAGTTCTAGAGGATAGACATATCCATTTCAATGGCTCATATTTGAATGAGTCAGAACCTACTTCTTACACTTAGATCCATAACGTCAGGGGTATTCACAACGGCGCAGGTGTCGAACACAGTACATCCTTGGATCTCGGAAGGATGAAGGGGAGGACGGTATATGAATAGTTCCTGCAAGGCACAACCGTTTCTTAGAAGATGCTCTGCACATGAAAAAAAACCCCACAACAGCATTTTTTGAAACTTTATTTTCCCAAACAGACAACCGCAAGCTGTTTTTGAGCAAAAAGGTAAACAAACACACGCACTTCACCTTCTGTGCAGACCTTTCTCTAACGAGCTCACCTCAGCAGTAATAGAACCATGACCAGCACCTACACCTGGTACCCCTTAAAGAATCTCGCAGATAGGTGCCGCAGAACCACTACGGAAGATTCGTGCTGCAGCGAAATTTTGGACGGGAACCCAATTAATACAGCGATCTCAAGGTGTAGTTTATTACAACAGGCGCAACACATTTTATTCTACACCAACCTTTTCTCAATATGCTTAGGGTGCCGGTCGTTTGGCGCGATGGGCGGGGTCGCGCCGCCCATTTGAGGCGGCGCGACTCCGCCCATCGCCCCTTCAACTCATTCAGATCGCGTAATCTTCCGCTATCCTCTCCTCTATAGATGATAGAAGCCCAATCCAACATCTATAGAGGAGAGGAGATCAGAAGATTACGCGATCTGAATGAGTTGAAGGGGCG